CCCCCCCCCCACCCCGAAACCGCGTCCCGCTGCATGCGGGGCCGAAACGACAAATCCCCCCGCCCTGAAACTGCGTCCCGGCGCCTGGACCGACGATAGCCCCACGATCCGATCGTGGCCCCCCCGAGGTGCCACACCAGAGAACTGGGTCTCGCGGGACCGTCACGCGAGACCCGCGTTTTGCTTTAGAGTATTAGAGATATTGAGCGCATCACTAATTCGCGCATGGTGCATGGCGCACACGCACCGCAGAAGTGCGCCGCAAGTATGCAAAATAGAAATAGATCATCGCTTAAACCCAGCGGTAAATAATTTTTTTTTTTTTTTTTTCCAACGGTAAATACTAAATACTAAAAAGTCAATTCTTCCATCCATTTACAGGCCTTGCTACAGTCTTGTTTTTGCAAAACTGTTCGTGACGACATCCGACATAAGCGTCTGGATAATCTGGAATGTGGCGTGGCACTGCCGTCAAGACCCTCAAGACCTAAGAAATGCATAGGAAAGAAAGTCAAATTCACACCAAGGGAAGTCATCCATATGAAATTGACCAAAGGTTTCTGGATACTGAAGTCTGGATATTTGACTACTGATGGTGGTCATTTGTTGTTTGTCATCAGAAGACAGGCATGGGTCCCATCCAGCCACGACGCACGTACAAGGTGCTGCATACAAAGCTCTGTACTGTATTTCATGTAATTGAGTTATTATTTGTACTTTGTTCTTTTGCTTTTTTGGTACGGACATTTTACAGCCCAAGGACCCCCGTCCGGACAGTCCGGGCTTGGATTGCCCAGGAAGTCTGAATTATGTCCCGTTATCTGGACATACGAGTCAATCCAGGAAGAGGTCGGGCGTTCGGATCAAGGTGAGGTGTGACCTTGGTTCAGATCCTGCTGAGTACAATAACATTAGGAGTGGCCCAACATTTAGCAGGCCGGCTGACCTCCTTCAGACAAAGAAATAAAACAGGGAAGAACAAACGCCTGATGATCAATAGTGCGCATATGAGTGCAATGGCATCTCCAGCTGATTCACTCCACCAAACTACGACAGAGGGGTTCACAGCACTGCTCTCCTACTCGTTTATTCAAACAGGCACTGACCTCCATCAACTTTCCTTCACTCCTCCTCCTCCTCCTCCTCCTCCCTCTCTCTCCCATCTTCTTTTTTGTTTGCAAATGACACTGCTTTCACTGTTACGGACTTCGCCAGGGCTCGGTCCCTGGTCTATCTTTTTGCTGTTTCGGCTGCATCCCGTTTTCGGCCTGGCACCCTTTTTCCAAACCCCTCCTTTGGTACCGTAGGATTTTGGACAAATGGTGCCATGCTGCAATTCGGGTGCCGCTTTCAAATACTGCATTTTTCAGTTCTGCCCTCGGGGCCTTTGCAGAAATGCCCCTGGTACCGTACGTGTCACCGGTACTTATACCGGCTCCCCGTACGCTACGGGGACCAGTCTCGTACCAGTTTTCTGCTGCTGTACTCGTACTCAGTGTGACTTGCTGTTTCGGCATTCGGAATCCAAGACTTCGACTTTGTGCCTTGCCACTGTGTCTGCGTCCGACCCTCAGTCCGAGTCAGTCGTGTCGAGTGAGTGAGTGTGTGTGTGTGCTCTCACTCTCTCCCTCTCTCTCTCCTCTCCCTCGGCTCACCCTCAGCCTCACGCCCGTTACATTCACATTCATCATCGTTTGACGAATCGAGTATGAGACGGGGGAAGAGGAGGCGGCGACATGAGAGGAGAGACGTTGAGGGCGGTCATTGCCCATTTGTTATTAGACGAGGTACAATTCCCATCCAGCCACAACTTAGGTGCAAAAGTGCTGCATAAAACATTCTGTAATGTACTTCATATAGTTCAGTTATCAACCCGGACATTTTGGAGCCCAAGGGTGGACAATCCGCGTCCGGATTCCAGGATGTCCGGATAATTTCCCGTTCGTTCGAATCAATCTGGAAAGAGGTCCAGCTGGATCTTGCGATTGGTCTAGCATGTGCGTCTGGATCATTTTCCGTTCGTTTGAATCGATCTGGACAGAGGTCCAGCTGGACCTCCCGATTGGTCTAGCATGTGGGTTGGGCGTGACCATGGTTCAAATCATGATGAATACACTAACATTTGGAGTGAGCCCCTTCAGGGGAAGAAAAAAACAAGTACCTTGATGATCTGAGGAGCAGGTATGGGTCAAATGGAAAAAACATCTCCAGCTGATTCACTCCACCGAATGCTGTCGTAGTCTTCAACTCAAATTGCTCGTTCATCTCCAAAATCTTCCTACAATCATAAAGGCGCAGAGCAAGGCATTGCCTGCTGAATTCCGCAACTACAGACTGAAGGCACATCTGATATTCCAGAATTTCAATACAAGCGAGGGATATGGAACAGAGAAGAATACAAACGTTAGTGGAAAGTCGGAACTCCTGCCAGTGAGCAGCTCCGGCCCATAGGGCTTGTGGGGGCTTTGTCAATGATATAATTACAACTCGTCACCTCTTC